GTAAGTTTCGTAACGAAATACTATATGCAGTGGCCAATGGTATTAGTCCAATTTAGAGAGTTTAAAGTTAGATTAATCTACATTATTTTTTGTTAAACTAAGCTGCAATTATTCTGTAATTAGAATTTTTATAAAAATTGAAGGTATTAATTATTTCATTTTGATTAGTTAATTAGTTGCCAATCCAAGAATAATACGGTCATTATAAATGAAATTTATTAATTTAACATTTTTACACGTAATTACACAAACAATAAGATTGTGAAATTTCTTACTAAATACAATATCATTATACTAAATATACGGGTGTCAGATTGCATTATTTATTAAATTACGAAAACCAATTGATATGTTTTAAAAATGATTTCATATATGCAGGAATTATTTTGAAAAAAAGAAAGGATTATATTGATTATATTGGTACGATTAATCAAGATTTTACAGTATTTGACGTTCTTACCTACAATAAAATGTAAAGTATGCTATAAACCTCATCATTATTATTTTTATCAAAAAGTAATAAAAATTTGATTAGTGTATTAATATACTAGTGACGTGAAATAATACTCAAATAAATATGATTCGTTTAAAATTCTAAGCAGTCAACTTGTGACACGATAAAAAAAACCGTTTTTTCTTTGAAAGTCAAATCATTAATCCTTAACTTTGTTACAACAATTAAACTTTTAATACTCGGCACATCTTGACGCCATGAACAACAAACAATACTTTTAGTTTGTGTTAATCCATAATACTTTGCACATCTTAGTACTTTGCACATCTTAATACTTGGCACATCTTAATACTTGGCGCATCTTAATACTTTGCACATCTTTGACGCCATGAACAACAAACAATAGTTTAACTTACCTTTTATATGAATTGACGTATTATCTTTTATAGGCCAATACCAATCAAAGGTTATCAGCTGGGATTAAAAAAAGATTTTCTGTAATATGCAATAAATTTCATGGTTCGCAAATACCAAATTTTGATTTGCCGTAGATCACTAATTGTTTTTTTTTTTTTTTTCAGTGTTATGATATAATTATGTGTGTAATTTAATTATTTATTTTTTAAAAAAACGTATGTGCCTTTTAATAATAAAGTTGATCCGATCCGTAAACAATTTATCATTGGTGATCACAGTCACACCTATCCCAAGTTCCCGAGTTTTGATGCTGAGTAACACTTAATAACGTGACTCAAATACTTAAAAGTTTTTTCTTTCTAAACTGCAAAGATAATATTATTTGTTTTTTTTTTTATGTAACTTGATATTCTTTTAATTTACGAACCAGTATTTTCAAGAATATTTTAATAAGCAAATTAATTTAACGCGTCTCTTAATATTTAAATTCAATGAATTTAATAATGAACCAATCATTTTTATGGTTAGATAAGTGACACAATAAAATCTGGAAACCATTTGTAGATCATTTATAATTGATAAGATGTCAAGTTTAAATGAATGAATGAATGAATGAATGACCTGGGGTACCCAAATATTTTTTTTTTTTTTCGGACGTAAATAAAATTATAATTATATTTTAATTAAGGGAGCACAAAAAAATATATATGTATAATATAATATATTTAATCAATCAATAATAACTGATTATAATTTAAAAAAAAAATTAATATTATTTTATGTACACACTTATTCTGGAAATATTGTTAATGTATAAATTCGTGTTTAAATAATTGAAAAAATGTCATTTTCTTTGACAGATCACACATGGCACAAATTTTGGTTGATATCATTATAATTCATTAATACATTGCACGACATTTGTTTAATCCTATTAAATAATATTTTTTTTAGAAAAGCGCCAATTAATTGTTTATGTATGGTTGGTTCCCCCAAATGTTGATATTAAACAAATAAGGTGGTAAATATAAGGGGAAAAAGTTTAAATGTATCAAAATCAAAATAAAATCAAAATAAATAAAAGAAAATTTTTTTTTTTTTTCTTTTTAAAAAGAAAAAATAATGCGATTAGTAAGGACTTTGTGCAGATCGAATTCTCTTTTTAAAAAATTTACAGTATTAAATATACAACAAATTATTATTAGTGTAATAAATAAATAAATTCGGATATTTACAGAAATTCAACAAACCGAAAGTTTTAGGTATATACTATAATGCTATAATGTGGGATGATGATGATGTAATCCAAATGTGGGGATTTTTGATGTATGCAATCCGTAAGCAAACTATCATCATAACGCATAATATTTTTTTAAGATTCAGAAGACTTAGAATTGTGACAAGAAAGAAATATTATTGTACTTCTATACTAAAATTTAATGGGTTCATATTGGATTTTCATATTACCGTATCTTGCGCAATATCTAAACACGTTTATTTTATCTTTACCGATTTTGTTATGTCCGATTTTTTTATTATGAAATATCAAACAAAAAAAATTTTTTTTTTTTTTTTTTTTTTTTTTTTAAAAAAAA